TTATAACAATTTAGGCATAGTGAGATTAAATAATGTGCTTAAGCTAGCACTACTAGCAAGTAGTATTAAAATCTAGACCATCTGATTCTAGAGTTCAGGCTCTTAATCACTACAGTCTTGTTGCTAGCCACAATCAACATGATTATGATGTTTTATATTCATTGTCATTTTTACAGTATCTATAATAACCTTGGAGACATGTATGCATGTCTGATAAATTATATAAATTAGGTTAATTGAGGTGGGAAGATACATCTTAAATATGGGCAGCACCATTCCCTCCCTGACTTGGAGTTCTGGACAGAACAAAGAAGAGAAAGCTAGCTGGATATCAGCATTCATTGCTTTCTGTCTCCTGAATGTATATGCAATTTGACCTAAATATAACAGAGTCAATTTACAGTAAGCCTATAACCAACATCAAATTAAAATAAGTGAAACTCAAAGTAATTCCACTAAGATCAGGAACAAGACAAGGCTGTCCAGTCTCTCAATGCCAATTAAATATAGTACTTGAAGTTCTAGCTAGAGCAATAAGACAACAAAAGGAGATCAAGGGAATACAAGTTAGAAAGGAAGAAGTCAAAGTATTGCTATCTGCAGATGATATGATAGTTATTACATAAGTGACCTCAATTTTTTTTAACCAGGGAACTCCTACAGCTGATAAACACCTTCAGCAAAGTGGCTAGATACACAATTAACTATAAAAATATCAGTAGCCTTCCTATATACAAATGGCAAACAGGCTGAGAAATAATTCAGGAAAAGAAGATCCTTCACAATAGTCACAAATCATATAAAATACCTTGGGGTAACTATAACTAAATAAAAAAACTGTATGATAAAAAGTTCAAATCGGTGCTGGAGAGATGGCTCAGTGGTTAAGAACACTAGCTGGTCTTCCAGCGGTCCTGAGTTCAATTCCCAGCAACCACATGATGGCTCACAATCATCTGTAATAAGATCTGGTGCCCTCTTCTGGCCTGTAGGGATATATGCAGGCAGAACACTGTATACACAATAAATAAATAAATCTTAAAAAAAGTTCAAGTCTTTGAAGAAGGAAATTGAAGAAGATATCAGAAGATGGAAAGACCCTCTTGAATTGGTAAGGTTAACATAGTAAAAAACAGCCAACCTACCAAAAAATCTATAGATTAAACACAAAATTCAAACAAAATTCTTTATAGACCTTGAAAGAACAACACTCAACTTCATATGGAAAAAAAAAGATACAGGATAGCTAAAAACAATCCTATTAAATAAAAGAACTTCCAGAGGTATCACCATCCCTGATTTCAAGATGTACTACAGAGCTGTAGTAATAAAAACTGCCTGGTATTGGCATAAACACAGATAGGTTGATCAATGGAATTGAATCAAAGACCCAGGCATAAGTACATACACTTATGGACACATGGTTTTTGATAAACAAACCAGAAATACACAATGGAAAAAGGAAAGCATCTTCAACACATGGCACTCATCCACTGGATGTTGATATGTAGAAGAAAGCAAATAGATCCATACTTTACCATCCTGCACAAAAATTAACTTCAAATGGATCAAAGACATCAAAATAACACCACATACACTGAACCTGATAGAAGAGAGCGTGGGGAATAGCCTTGAATGCATTTGCACAGAAGACAACTTCCTGAACAGAACACCAAGAGTGTGGGCACTAAGATCAATAATTAATAGATGGAACCTCATGAAACTTAAAAGTTTCTATATAGCAAAGGGCAATGTCAATAAGACAAAACAGCCAGATAGTGGTATTGAACTCCTTTAATCCCAACACTCAGGAGACAGAGGCAGGCAGATCTCTGTGAGTTTGAGACCAGCCTGGTCTACAAGAGCTAGTTCCAAGACAGCCTCCAAAAGCCACAGAGAAACCCTGTCTCAAAAAAACCAAAAAAAAAAAAAAAAGGACAAAACAGCAGCCCACAGAACAGGAAAAGATTTTCAACAACTCTATATCTGATAGAGGGCTAATATCCAAAATACATAAAGAACTCAAGAAACTAAACATCAACAAAACAAATACTGCAATTTAAAAAATGGAGTACAGATCTTCTTAACAGAGAAAACAAGAATGGCCAAGAAACAAATGTTCAATATCCTTGCCATAAGGGAAATCCAAATCAACAGGACTCTGAGATTCTATCTTACACCTGTCGAATAATTAAAATAAAAAACACAGGATGTGGAGCAAGGAGAACACTCCTCCACTGCTAGTAGGAGTGAAAACGTATATAGTCACTTTGGAAATCAACATTTCGGTTCCTCTGAAAATTGGGAATTGATCTACCTTAAGACCCAGCTACAACACTATTGGGCATATACTCAAAGGATATTCAATCATACTACAAAGACACTTGATAGAGGATGTCCTTCTGTATATATGTTTGTCTTATTGGTTGATGAATAAAATGCTGATTGGCCAATAGCCAGGCAGGAAGATAGGTAGGGTTACCAGACCAGGAGAAGGCTGAGAAGGAGACAGAAGCTGCGAGAGAGATGCCATGTTGCCAAAGGAGTAACATGCCAGATTACAGGTAAGCCACAGCCTCCTGGCAATACATAGATTAATAGAAATGGGTTAATAATTAAGAGAGAGATAGCGCTAGCCATTGGACAGTTTACAATTTTTTATTTACTTTGGAAGTACTCATATTTATATATCAATCCTCCATTCCCTCGCCCTCCCATCCTCCCCATCAACCCCCCAACCCACCCACCACCCACTCCCCAGGGACAGTGAGGCCCTCCACGGGGACCATCAAAGTTTGTCACATCATTTAGGGGAGGGCCCAGGCCTGGGCTGCAATGGTATCCCTCCATAGGACAGTTTATAAATTAATATAAATCTTTGTATATTTATCTGGGGCAAAGAGGTTGTGGGACAAGGTGGGACAAAAAAACTTCATCTTCAGACACTTGCTCAACTATATTTATAGCAGCTTTATTTTGTAATAGCCAGAACCTGGAAAGAACCTAGATGGCCCTCAATCAAAGAATGGATAAAGAAAATGTGGCACATTTACACAGCAGAGTACTTATTACACAGCTGTTAAAAACAATAACATCATGAAATTTGCAGGCATATGGATGGAACTTGAAAAAATCATCCTGTGTGAGGTAACCCAGACACTGAAAGATGCACATGGTTATGTACTCACTCCTAAGTGGATATTAGCTGTAAAGTGATAATCATGCTAAGGTTCACAGACCCAGAGAGGCTAAGTAACAAGGAGGGCTTAAGGGGAGAATTCAATGATCTCACTGGGAAGGGGTAATAGAATAGATTTTGAGGGTGGACTGGGGGCAAGTGGGGTTGAGAACAGGAGAGATCAAGTCAGGGTGGGGGAGAAAATACTGGGAGAAATGACTGGAATTGGGAGCATCTGGAGGTGAGGGAAAAACCTAGTGCAATGGAAACTCCAAGGAATTTATGAGCATAACCCTAGCAAAAACTCCTAATAATGGGGGACACAGAGCCTCTGTGGAGGGATTGGGATATCAAAACAGACACAAAACCTTCAATGTACAGTTTGTCCTGCCTGCAGAGTATTCTGGAAGCAGAGCCTAGTAGAATCCTCATCAAAGAGACCAGAGAGACTACATCCATCAACTGATGGGAGCAGATATAGAATCCCACAGCCAAACATTAGGGTTAGGGTTAGGGTTAGGGTTAGGGTTAGGGTTAGGGTTAAAGGGAAGGAAAGATAGGAGGAAGCAGAGAAGACAGGGACAACTCAAGAACACAGCCCATAAAATCAACTAACCAAGACTCATAGGGGCTTGCAGAGATCATGGAGCATATAGGGATCTGACCTAGATCATCTACATATGTTATGGCTGAGTAGCTTGGTGTTCTTGTGGGATTCCTAACAGGGGGCCTTCTGACTCTTGCCTGCTTGTGGGACCCTTTTCTTACTACTGGGTCACCTTGTTCAGCCTTGATATGATGGTATGTACCTGGTATTATTGTAGCATATTATGCCATGTTGTGTTGATGGCCCTGGGAAGGTCTTCTCTTTTTTTGAGGGAAGACAGAAGGGGGCTAGATCTGGGGGAGAAGGGAAGTGGAGAGACTAGGGGATGGGAGGGAAGTATGTAGTATATGAGAGAAGAATTTTAAAAAATGTAAAGAAATATGTGAGAATAGAAGTTTTCTGTTCAACCTGGTCCTGCTGCCCTTCAGTACCAAATAGTCACACAGAGGCTTATATTAATTTAAACTGTTTGGCCAATGGTTAAGGCTTTTTATTGTCTAGTTCTCTCTCAATTATTAACCCATTTCTATTAATCTGTGTATCTCCACATTGTCTTGGCTTACCAGTGATGCCCAGCCCTCTTGCTCCCTGGTAGCTACATGACAACTCACTCTCTGTGTTCCTCTCCCAGAATTCTCCTAGTATTGTAGCCCTGCTATACTTCCTGCCTGGCTATACCCTGCCTGTCCATAGGCTGAAACAGTTTTATTCATCAACCAATAAGAGAAACATATATTCACAACATACAGAAGGACATCCCCCATTACACAGGGACACTCTTCTCTCAGTTAAGGATTAATAGCACATTTCAACCTATACCTTTGGCTTGATATAAGGAAAAGGTCAAGCTAACACTACAAACACCAAAGGGAATTGCTTAGTTTCAGAATTCACAATGAGTCATACCAAACTAAAACACACAGCAAAGGTACATAATGAATTATTTATCAATCAAAAAACTTTGGCTCAATCCAAAGTTTTAGAAAAAGATTTCTGTATATTGAGTATATTTTCTAGACAAAAGCTCCATTAATGAATGCTGAGAGATTGTGGTTGTTTTGTATGTTTCACTGCTACCCGTCTTAACACAATATAAGGACATAATAGATATGAGAAAAGAAACAAACCACCTCAGCATAAAATGTCATTTCCATATTCTTAGACATCAGTGCAGTTGCTCTAATGCCCTGAAAAAAAATCATATGCTGTACTTACTGAATCCACAAGGTTTTCTGTTTTATCTATCAGTAATTCCAATCTTTCACCACGTTGAGCAACCAAATCTGGAAATATTTACAAATAGAAATAATGTTTTATTTTAGAAATAAAGGAAACCAATCACCAAAGCCAAGGCCCTAAAATTGTACTCAAAATTCCATAAAGTCACTGTTTGACTACAGAAGAAAAGCAGCTGACCCCAATTAAAGACAACTGGTAGTTGCAAAGAGACAACAGACTCTACAGTTTCAAAAACAGCTTATATAAGGAAAACAGCTAACTTTCCTATTCTGCCCATAACAAATGCCTTCCCTATTTCCCTATCATTACAAAACTCAGATAGGAGAATGTGAACTGTGTTCTCTTGAACTCTGGTCATTGATTGACTGGGTCCTTTGCCCTGATCATGGTGAGGCCAGTACTCAAGATGGCATCTCTCTAGCATTAAACAAAGCCCACTATAGATGTTTGAGGTCATCTAAATTATCTTTTATTTCTTCCTATAAACTTGTTACATATCCTTACAATAAATATACAATTTTGAACTCAGCAAAATAACCCAGAAGTTAAGGGTGTTTGTCACCAAGCCTGACAACATGAGTTCAATCTCCAGGACCCATATAAATGTAGGAGAGAATAGGCCCCACAGAGTTGACCTCTGACCTTCACACCCACACTGTGGCATGTACCAGGTACTACACATAAATAATTTTAAAAATGAAAATCTGAATATAACAATAAGAGATTAAGCCAATAATTTCAAAACCCTACACAAGAAAAAAAACAATTCTAGATAGAGTCAAAGATGAATTCTATATAAAATATTTTAAGAAAAATAGATACCAATTTATTACAAACTTCCTTAAAAATCAAAAGAAATGAGTATTTTTCAACTTATATTATGGGTCCATTATTATCATGGTATTTAGTCAAAGAAAGACATCACAAGGGGATCTGGGTATGTGGCTCACTTGGCAGAATTCTTTGCTAGCATGCAAAATCCTGGATTTAATCATTAGCATGGCATAAAGTGGTATACACCTATAATCACAATACTTTGGATGTCAAATCATGGTGTGATGGTTAGTTTTAATTGACAACTTGACACAACTTAGAATCACTTGGGAAGACAATATGAATGAAATATAGTCTAGATCAGGCTCAGTGGTGGTGGCACAAGCCTTTGATCCCAGCACTCGGAAGAGGTAGCTCTCTGTGAGTTTGAGACCAGCTTGGTCTACACAGCAAGTTCCAGAACAGCCAAGGCTACACAGAGAAACCGTGTCTCCTATAAACAAACAAAAAACAAATTTAGAAAAAGAGAAATATTGTCTAAATCACATTGGTCTGTAAGCATATCTATGGGGATATGTCTTGTTTGTCTTCACTGATGTAAGAAGACCCAGCCAAAAATGTGGGTTAGCACTCTTCCCTAGTTTTCTGACATGAGACATTTAGAGTAGAGAAAGGTAGATGACCACTAAGCATGCATGTATTTTTCTGTAGATGTGATGTAACTGACTGCCTTTGTACTGCCCTGCTATGATGGACTTGTGAGCTTAAGCAACCCTTTTCTTCTCTAAGTTGCTTTTTTTGGATATTTTACCAAAATAACAGAAAGAAAACTAGAATACATGAAAACCAGAAATTCAAAGTCATCCTCAGCTATATAGTAAGTTTAAGAACAGTTTTACATGAGATTGTCTCACAAAAAGAAAAGGACACCATAAATTGAAAAAATAAATAGGCTAGCAACCCCCCCAACACACACACACACACACACAGTGGGAGCAGCTACCCCTGGGCTGGTGGTTCTGGTTCTATAAGAAGGCAGGCTGAGCAAGTCATAGAGAGCAAGCCATAAGCAGCACCCCTCCATGACCTCTGCCATCAGCTCCCACCTCTAGGTCCCAGTCATACTTGAGGTCAGGTCCTGACTTCCTTCAGTGATGAACTATGATGTAGAAGTGTAAGACAAATAAACCTTTTCCTCCCCAAGTTTCTTTTCATCATGGTGTTTCATCACAGCAGTAGTAACCATAACCAAGACACTGCCAGACACACAGGCCAGGAAAGCAAGGTAATTGCAGATCTTCAATGTTCCTTTCTTTCTTCCAAATCCAAACTCCTAGTCTCATCCTCCAGCTATGTAACAGACTACCTGCTTCAGCCTCCTATCCCTTTTAACCAACATTTCTAGAGGATCATACAGATCTCCTCCTACCTTCCTCCACACTCATACCATTGTCTCAGACCCCAACTCCAGTAGGCATTCCTTGGGAACCTACCAGCAAAGCCATCCAAAGAAGCAAGTAAGCCAGTGAAGAAGGTAGGTGATCTTCAGATCTTTACACCTCCTCCTTTCCTCCAAAATCAATGCCCAAGTGTCATTCCCAGATCTGTAGCAGACTACCTGCTGTGGCCTCTCCTGATTCTCTGCCTATATTCCTAGTGTACTAAAAAGATCAAGGTAGATCACCCTCCTTTCCTTCCTTCTGTGAAGCCCCTCAGCCTCTCTGTTCTAGTTTATTCCTATTCCTAAGTATCAGATACCAACACCTAGAAATACACTGAACCAGGAATCCCTAGTGGCCATACTTAGCAGGATCCAAGAAGCATTTCCTACCAAGCAATTTAGTCACCACACCCTCCTAAGAAGCAGAGAGGGCAACAGAAACACAGGAACAAAACACTCACCAAACAAAGGCAAGACCAGATATTAGCACCTAGATACGTGGTTCTCAACCCCCACAAGGGTTGCATATCAGATATCCCGCATAGCAGATATGTACATTGTGATTCATAACAGTATCAAAATTACATTTATGAAGTAGCATCAAAAATAGTTTTATGGTTGGGGCCAAAGCATGAGGAATTATATTAAAGAGTCACAGCATTAGAAAGGTTGAGAACCACTAACAAAGAAGTGCTGTTTTAGCCTTTCTACAATAATCTGACTCCAATCTAGTAATCCACTGTTATTTGTGTTCATATGAATAAAACTATGCCACTGAAACATACCTATGTTTCTGACCATGATTCCTTTCAGTTCATCCACTTGTGCTTGAGTCTCCATCACTCTGTCTTGCCCTTTATTTTCGGAGTGATGCTTCTACAAGATATTAAGTTTTAACTTACAATATTAAGACACTAGTATTACAATACAATAAGAAATAAAAATAACAACCTATATTGAGGAATGCTATATAATTATGGTTCTATTATATAAAAGGTACATATATCTGAAAAAACAGTATTACATTTAGAAAAAATATTGGCAGTGTAAAAATTGCTTTCATATGGAATGCATTTTAGCATAAAATATCTTATTTTAAGTAAAATTCAGTGAATGTATTACAATATATGAAATATATGAGACTCTTAGGGCAGACGTGAGGGAATATGTAATCTCTGCTTATACAGGAAGGAAGGAGAAAATTAAAAATTACTATGGTTGGCATGGTGAGAAGCAGGACAGGATAAAATTAACCTTGATTTTCCTTACTTCTTGAATATGATGAAATAGGCATACACTCGCTTCTTTTAATATCTACCCTTCTATCTGCTGGGATAACAACATGTCTCTTATTGTCACTCACTTCTCTCAAGATCTAGAATTTAAAAGACTGATGATAGCATGTATTTTGAAATTATCATTCAAGATAAACAACTATAAAATGTTTAATGCACAATATTACAGATATTTCACTATGTAATTAAGAAGAGATGTTATTTAATTTACTATAATACTATGTATATATTTTCATATTTGTTATAGGGAGGAAATTAGTAATTCAAAGAATCACACACAGATCTGGAGTTAATAACAAAAGTTATTAGTTTTGCTGCTACATAGAATATTTTTAAAAATAGAAAAGTAAAAACTGATTAAAATGTATAGTTTTCCATATTCACAATTAAATAATAGTTATAGGTTATGTCTTTGTGCCCTAATACTTTTACATATAAAGAGAAAGCATGCTGAAAGGTGCTCACCATCATTCATATCATGAAATGCATATTAAAAACACAAGGTACCAGTGCATACCCACTAGAATAGCTAAAATGAATGACAGATAATAAATATTGACAAGGACAAAAAACACTGGAATTGCCAATGAGAATTTAAAATGGTATAATCACTTTGGAAAAATAGTGTGATACATTTTTAAATTACATATCACCATATGACCCAGAAATTCCATTACTAGGTATTTATTTACCAGAGAAATAAAAACATATGTCCACACAAAGATTCATATGTGGAAATTCACAGCAGCTTTACTCATAACAGTTAAAAACTAACAGCAACCCAAATATCTACCAACAGATAAATGAGTTAAACAGTATGTACACAGTATTGTTCGGCAGAATACAGAAATATGCTGATTTATTCAACATAGGTGAGCACTTTAGAAGAATTATAATGAGCAAAACAGATTAAATCAGAGTACTTTATGATTGTATTTATAGAGAATTCAAGGAAAAAATAATCTATAGAGATAAAATATAGATTTGCTAGGACAGAGCATTGGGTAGGTGACTTACTAAAAAGGGGCATGGAGGAAAGTTTAGGGTTAACAGAAAAGTTTTTTTTTTCTTGACTGTGGTGGCATTTCAGAGTTACACACACATACACACCATCATTTCAGTTGGTGAGGAAGTTACGCAGATGAACAGATTTTCACAAGTCTAATTTGAGCTATTCAAAAAATCAAACTAAGGAAAAGGTGTATATATAGGTTAAAATGCCAGTTGAAATGTTTAGTGGATTTAAGCATTAAAAGGGTAGCCAAACTAGTCTATCTTTATCATTCTTCAAAATCCTAGAATATACTGACTATTAGTAATAGAGAATAATCACCAACTAGCTATCTATACTAAAATGACCACTTTACCTCTTTTAATAGAGAGCTTTATTATGTTGGCTTATAGTGACACAATCAGAAAAGTGTTCTATAGGTCTGGGCCCCTATATCCATGATGCTTGAATTTAACAAAAAAGAAAATACAAATTAAAACACTATGTCCTGAGAAAAATCTTACCAGTTGTGCAGCCAAAACACTCGAGAACTCGCTATTCATGGCATATGGAAGTGCAGTCTGTGCTCTTGAACCGTAAGTAGTTTGGAATCTCTTTTTTACTTCATTCAGAAAACTGAAGGCTCGAGAGCGCTCAAAATCCTGTAAAGTGACCAATATTGTACTCATATTTACAAAGTAAACAAAGATATTTGGCAGATTAGTAATAACAACAATAATGTTTACTGACTCATGACTGACTCCATGAGGAGTAAGCAGAACGGATCCTGCTTCATAGATAAGAAACAAAAGCTACAAAAAGACAACTAACTTGTCAGGTCAAACAGCTAATAAATTAAAAAGCTGAGAGCCAAATTCAAACTAAAAACAATGGTATGTAGATTAATAACTCAGGGGTCAGGAATTGATTTTCAATTCTTCCAGTTCTTTCACATGATCACAAGGTCTAGCATAAGAAGATGCTCAATACATCAATAAAAATAGTATAGTTTGGAGGCTGGAGAGATGGCTCAGTAGTTAAGAATGCTTGTTGCTCTTTGAGAGGACCCAAGTTTGGTTCTCAGCATCCAGGTTGGACAGCTCACAATTGCCTATAACTCCATCTCCAAGGAATCTGATTTGCTCTTCTGCTCTCTGTGGACATTCTCACACATAGAAATACACATACACCTAAACAAAATAAAAAACAGATTTTTAAAAAGATTATGGTATTTAATATATAAATATAATGCTATTGATATGGATTTTGAACTAATACTTTCTAATAGCAGTGATACATCTGAAAAGGTCAAGTGACGTACCCTGTCTACTCACCAGAAGTCAAAAAGTTGTGTATATGTGTGTGTGCACACATGCAACAAACCACAGCTTAAGAGTTTTGCTGCTCAAGTTGGACCATTTGATATTCTATGACAGTTCTCATCGATTTTAAGCATTTCACATCAGTCCTTACAGATACAGCTGGACTTTATTGTGAAACCAAAGGAAAAAATCATTTGATGATCAATGTAATTGAACATCATTTTGACTTAGTTTAAACCAAGGATTTTTCATTATTTTATGTGTGGGAGTGTTTTTGCCTATGTAGCACATGTATGCATAGCCTTAGAGACCGCAAGAGGGTGCCAGATCTCCTAAGTTACGGATGTTTGTGAGCTACCATGTTGTTGCTGAGGCTCTAACCTGGGTCCTCTGGAAGAGAAGCCAATGCTCTTAACCACTCACTGAACCATCACTCCACCACTACATCACAGATTCTTGAACTGGGATCAATGGTCAGAATTCTAGGGGCACTTGTATTAGGATACGAAGAAATATTACACTGTTATTTTCATCATTCTTTAGGTTAAATTTCAATTTTGAATGGAAGTAACAAAACAAAGGAGTATTAAACAGTACCTATAGCTTGTCATCTCCAGAAATATTTATTAATATGCTATCACAGTTACAGGTATTTTGAAATAGTTTACATGCATTAACATTTCAAAAGTATTATTATTAGGCTGATGACCAGGTATTCAATGAAGTCATAAAGAAATATATTTATTAGTATATCCTTTAAAATATATTGAATGTTATATGTAAGTAGAATTGATTTTGTTTAGACTCCTGTGTGTTCTAGTTCATACCTTTAACAACATTCTTGGTATAAACACAAGTGATAAAGGAGTCTGTGACAAGAAAATTTAAGAACATTGATTTATAGAAATCATGTTAATTTAATTCCATGACTCTATCAGAGAACAGCTTAGAAATAGCACATGGCCATTATGGCATGAAAAGGAGTTAACTTCAAAAGAAAAGAGAGGGGCATATTTTCCTCTGTCTCTCTTCTTTGTACATAAATAAGTAGCCATGTAGCTACATGCAACCATAAGGGGAACTTGTAAGAAACTAACAATGAATAATGAAAATGTTTCTTGATGACATTAAGTTACTGAACATTCTGGACTTATAGCCAAAATACTCAGAAAACAACCTAACCAATGTAAACTACACATGTACATTGATCATAATGCACTATGATACTGTTTTTCTAAAGTACAGATATATAAAAATTTATTAAATATTGACTGAAGGAACTAAATAATTAATTTAATATTCAATGTCAACATTTTGAGAAGCTTTTATAACAATCGTAGTCATTAGGTAGAGAGAGGCCAAATTGGATCTCTCCATTGGGTCCCTCCCCTTTGAAGCTTGGGGAACCACATGGAAAGAGGGGGAGGAAGAATTGTAGGAGCCAGAGGGGCCAAGGATACCAGGAGAACATGACCCACAGACATTAACTAAGGAGGGCTCACAGGGACTGAAGCAGCAACCACAGAGTCTGCATGGATTCACACTAGGTCCTCTACACATATGTTATGGTTGTTAGCTTGGTGTTTTTGTGGGACTTGTAGCAGTGGGAATGGGGGAGTCACTGACTCTTCCATCTGCTCTTGGACCCTTTTCTTTCTACTTCCTTGCCTTGCCCAGCCTTGTTATGAGGGTCTATGGCTAGTCTTATTGTATCTTGTTACGCTATGTTCAGTGGATAGCCCTAGGAGGCCTGCTCTTTTCTGAAGGGAAACAGCAGGAGTGAACCTGGGGAACAGAGGAGGTGGAGGCAGGGGAAACTACAGTCAGGGTATATTGCAAACCAAGAATAAATTTTAAAGATTCAAAAAATGATTAAAAAAACAAAAACAATCATAATAAATGCTAATTTGAAAATACTGTATGGGGTAGTAAATTTTCAGAGAGATTAAGCAGAAACTATCAAAACTGAGCTAAATAATACATATTCAAGTATCAAACTTTGTCATAATATGCTCTTTATAATAAATGCAAAATGCAGAAAAAATTCAAGCTACAAATTTTTATCATCTTTAGCCACTATAGGTATAGATAATTAATAATTGACTGTATTAGTATGCATAGTAAAATAGCAATATATCTTCAAGTTACTTACATCATCAGTGATACAAAGATACACAATCCTGTCTTGGCAGATGTAATGAAACAAGTAACTGTAGAATAAAAGATATAAATCATATTGTAATTTTAAACATCATCTATTTTGCTTCTAAGTTCTATCTATATATGCCAGTTTAGTATGTCCAACTTCACTATATTAATTACAAATACAATTCATTCTCATCCTCCCCTCCCCTATACATTTGTATCTCTGGATAAACTGACAGGAATGAATAAAATGTGAAAAGAGGTTCTCGTTCCTAAATAACATGTGCATTAACATTTAAAATGTTAACTACAAAAGCATAAATGGATTTTTAAGGCCTACAGAAGAGATGGTGTCTTAGAAGGGACACACAATTAAAATATATCCCCAGTGGTCCACAGGCTTCTTGTTTTGTTTAGCTTTTTCCTGGTATGGCAAATAAAAACACCTTTGCTACAAAATTCTCAACAATAAAATTTGAGTATCTACTTTGATCAAGTTAATGTGCAAGGTAATAAGGATACAGAATGTAAAATCATCTATCCCTGTTTCCCTGTTTTTTTTTAGGGATTGTAGTATAAGGAATAACAATGTAGCATGGCAAACAAGATAACAAACTTGAGTGTCATATGAGTAAGCAGGCAATATGGTCTGAATTCTAAAGAATAAGTAATAGATAGGAATGCAAAGAGTAAGCAAAGAATATACAAAAGTGCAAAATTAGGCAGTGTAAGGATATGGAGATAAAAAGCACATAATAGATATGTAAGAGTAAAATCTGTTCACGTGACAAAAGTATAGAACATTCAGGGAAAAGAATAATTGCCTGGACAGATGACAGTGGAAAAATGAGTACATAATAGATTATACAAGATTTTATAAACTGCATTGTATACTGACTTGAGAACAACGAAAAATTCAAAACATTTTTGCTTAGGGAAGGTAATGTTATCACATTTGATGATATCAAAAATCAGTATGTAACCCACCACCTGAGCTCCAGTCCTACATATGCTACATGATGTCTATCATACTTAACGTTTTCTTGTACTATGAAAAGTTTTTTTTGCACTCCTGATGCAGTGTTTCCCGCCTCATGGCCTCTACCAGTTGGTGTGAATGTTCCTCCAGGCCATCTTTTCCATGAGAGATGTTCACATTTTCCATTGACCATCTTTCTGCTCTGAATACTCAAAGACACTATCTACATTTCACTCCCCCTGCCAAATATTCCCCCACAATCAACTGCCTCCATCTTTGAGTCAGAAGGCATATAGTGCATTACCTTTATCATAATCATATAAATAAGAAAAGATAATTTATGTAAAAACTGGCACAAAAGACAGAAAGTCCTCACTTTCTAAGTTCATGCCCAAGGAGAGTTACAGAGGAGGAATGAAGGACTATAACAACCTAAAGCAGAGCAAGGCCAGAAACAAGCATTGCTTCTGATAGAAATCCAACAATAGTGCAGCTTATGTTTTGCAGGACTGAAAACATGGCTCAGAAGTGAAAGCAGTGAAGGTGTGATGCAGGAGGCAATTTGAGATAGCATCTCCCCACTGCTCTGGAATAATCCTTTTGCATACTGTGAATATGTATTACTCTCAATGGTTAATAAAGTGCTGACTGGTCAGTGGCTAGGCAGGATTTTCAGGGCAGAGAGAATGCTGGGAAGAAGGGTAGAGTCTGAGGAGTCATGAGAAGATACAGATAAAGCAGGAGATAAGATAATGTACCGAGCCACGTGTCAGAACATAGACAAAATAAGGGTTAATTTAAGATGTAAAAGCTAGTAGTAACAAGCCTAAGCTATTGGCTGAACATTTATAATTTAAAAAAAAATTCAAAACTTGCTTTTGGCTTCCTAAACAGATTTTTACAAACATTAAGTATGGTAAGCATATGCCAATAAAAGGTGAGAATTATTACAAATGTTATGAAGAAACAAATAAATTAGCACTGAGCAGTAAGTCACTAAGTGTGGGTGGAAAACAAAAATTAGGACTAAAGTAGTAGAAGACAAGGTCACTGAAGAAAAATGGAGATGAAGTAAGAATGGGATGACAAACTTGTAGAAGAAAGGTAAATATTTGGTGAAGTAAAATATAATTCTGAAGTTTTACGCTTAGGTAGCTGAATGTCTAGTGAAAGTATTCAATTTATAAATGTGGATGTTCTTATTTTGGTATACAGAAGCAAAAGTTGTCTTATTGAGATGACAAACATTATATGACTGAAACCAAGGCAGAAGTTAAAAAAAAATCTCAATGACTAAACCTCACCTAACAAACATGGGTAAAGACCAGGTGAAGACCGAGTAGAGATCACAAAATGTATAAAATAATTTCTTTTACTAAAACTTACATTGTACTTATATTTCCTAGCCTCCCTTATAGACAGATGCAGGTATGTTACTAAATTCTGACTCCAATAATACTAGTGGGAGATATATTCCCTTCTTCCAACTAAAAGAATTTCATATTTTTTCAGCAGTGATGGCAGAGCCACCCCTCTAGCTCCAAATCACTTATCTCTGGAATATTTCATATATATCAATTTTGTATCACAGTGTCTTCTAACAGTAGCTTTAACTAACTTGTAAAGGGGCTTAATCCTAGAAAGTAATAAGGATTCCTGACATAAAAACTAAAGATATAAGGCTTAATTAATAAAATATTTTAAGCATCAATGAGAAAAGCTAAAGTGCTTTTTAACACGATTACTAGGACTTCCCATCTATATCCTCTTTAATACGCCACCATTGTGATCTTTCTAGAGCAAAAGCTGTCATACCTTAAAAACCTTCAGTGCCTTTCCACTGCCTACAAGTAAGTCTACATTCTTAATATGCCCTATGAAGCCATGCATAACTTTCTCCAACCATCTCTTTAGTTTTATCATCATCATGCTGAGTAGTTGTCACAGAGAATGACTTGCAATTCCATAAATATGACTGCATAACTCTGCTCCTTCTAACTAGAATGCCACTATTTCCAAGTCTTTGGTAGACTTCTGTATAGATTTCACCATTAAACTATAATCTTTGTGAAGGCAAATACCACATTTCTTGTTATATCACTTTCAACAGGTAAAGTGCCTATCAATAGCTAAGTACTAAAATAATGAAAAAAAGAATACTGTTTATATTATCTGTATCATTTCACATATCTTAGAACTCTATAGTGAAGCCATTTTATATGTAACATTTCCCTATCTTTCTTTAATATTTCAATGATAGGATAAAATAATCATAAGTTATAAGTAACAAAACCAGACCTTTTTTTACTATTTTGAGATAGGGTTTCATTCTGTGGTTTAGACTGGCCTTGAACTCACAACGGGATATAGTAGTAGGATTAGAGGCATGAGATACCACCATGACTAACTTAGCACCAGACATTTTCTAAGCTAGTCAAATTATTGTTTTGTCAAATTAATCTACCTAAAAGCATGGTTTCTGCTGTTTTTACTGCAATAAAATTCCTTCCTTCCCTCTACCACATGCAGATCAGAACTCACTTGCCATGTGAGTAAGTTAGTTTATTATTTTCAGAAGGTATCTTAGCCAGAATCTGCTCTGTCACCTCCAGGAAGTTTCCTCCACACCAGGCATGTTTGGCAAGGATAGTGGTTCCCCTGGCAACAACAGCAAAAAGAATGGCCATGACTTCAATCTGTTAAAAGTAAAAAAATAAGAACACAGATTTAGAATATTATTTAGGCACAAGCTTTCAAAAGTAAACTTATCATTTACCTACATTCATCTAAAAATAGTATTGAACAAGCCAGTATAGTATAAAAATCAATGAAGACTTAATAGGAACTGGGAACACAGCTCAGTGGTATAAAGTATGCTTAGTATGCCCATAACCCTGGGTTTGATCCTCAGCAATAAGGAAAACTAAAAAAAAGAACAACCTCAATGTTTTTTACAAGCTTATGACTTAAACTGCTTATTGTTATTTATCAGTATATACATAGGCTGAATTTATAAACTATATAGCAAAAACTGATACTCTTTTGAAAAGCAATGATCATAGATAGCAAAGTGACATAAAGATGACATTACAGTTTAATGAAACAATCTCATCCTGAAAATTTATCTTAGAGAACAGTTTAAGAGAAACTAGACTCTAGACTCACAATTATAATAATAACAACAACCCATATTAAGTATTCACCTTGTAACAGAGAAAAGTTTAAGTACTATGATGAGACTTTAAATCATGTTGGGTAGCAAAATGTGTCACTTGACACAATCACTTAAAATCAAATTTTTAAGACCGAGCTCAAATTCTGAAAACTATATTTAAATAATCTGGCCTAGATGAGCCTATAAGAAAATATTTCATATAACCATATTTGATTAGATGAAGTAGAAAACTATTAAGTGGTTGGGTTCAGGGAATTTGCTGAGCCCTGATTAGAATATCAGCACTGAAGGACAGTACATAGAGCAAAAAGGCATTCATCTATCATTTAAGCTGAACTTCTAGTAGTATCTTGTCTTCATTCTTACTGCCTAAATAAATTTGTTCCCTAGAGTTATGTCTTCAGTAGTCTTCGTTCCAGAAGCCTCTGAACAAATATGTATAATTATAATTTCCAAACCAGTGTCTCATATTTTTATCTCTCTTTATCTAAAAGACTCCCTTGACCATGTATCACCACTCTGCAGTTATAATTCTATTTCTTAGACTTTTGTCTATATATTATCTTTGCTTCTCTGTCTCCTTTTAACTCCTTAATTTACTATATGCTGGCTTTTGCCCTTAAAAATGCAAAATATAATGCTTCCTAAAATCACTAACAGTCTCCCTCTATGATATAAAATAATGATCATTTTTCTATTATCACCTTACTTAATTTCAAGAGCCATCAACATGCTAACTGATTCTCATTCTTGAAACTTTCCTATGTATTTGGCTTCTCTAGCTTTCTTCTTGATGACTTTTCCTCCCCTAACTCATCACTAAATAGTAAATTCCCCAAGGAATTGATTCTATATCCTTTATCAAAGATGAGCTCATGTGGATTTGACATTTAAAATATAATTTATAAAAGATACACTGTGTATAAAAGAATAGGGTCAGTGATAAACCCAAGACATAACCAATAATTAAGGGGAAGATTAAAAACCCAAGACATAATCAGCTTAAGGGAATCATAATATAAAGGGAGACAGACATAAATAAATACAATAAGGTGTAGAGAATGAATAAACTAGGAATGACTACAATTGTTTAAACTGTTCAAAATAAGATTATGCAATTATGTGATGCTAATCTTGAATAAAAGAATGACTATGTATGTATCATAATTTTCCTCAGTATACTGTTAACATTTCTCCTTAAAAGATAAGTCAGATTGTTTGTTTTACCCTATCTTCCCAATTCTCAGCACAATACCTAGCACAGAATATTTATCAAACAGTTAAGTGAACACTGGGTACACTTATAATATTATACCTAGAGATAACTTTATATTCTATAGAAACTGGCAAGAAGAGTATTTTTTTTTACTACCAAACTCTCTCCCTAATTCAGGTAAGACAGTTGATTGATAATAATCCAATCACCAATTGTTTATTCTGAGACATTAGCAAGAAATAAATCAATGGCAGATAAACCACGATTTGTGGTTTATTACAATTTGTTGGATAACCTTGGAACGGGTAGCAAAGGAAGAACACTATCAAGGAAGACAATTAAAAAGAAGGGGTGTTGATGAAGAGTCAGGTTACAGATCAAGATTACTCTTGTTGCTATTACAAGCATTGTTTCTCAAAAATGATCTGAAGTCCAACTCAATCCCTCTCACTTTTTCAGGACAGGATTTTATTCTGTCAAGCAAACTACCTTTAAAATTTTGCATTAACAAACATAAACCACCATACTGATGTATTATTCCTCTCATCCCTGTCCCCCAAACATGTAAGTTTCTGGATTAGTCACCTCCTATGTCTTTTTACTATCAATGTATCTCATGCACTTAAAGGAGTATCTAGTGTGTGTTCATTCTTTAATAACTATATATTAAATATATTGCTTCCAGCCATAGCTATTCAAAGGGAAAGAATTTTTTAAAGAGAATGGTGATGCATGTCATAAAGTGCGATTAATAAAATCCCAAGAAAAAGACTTGATAATTCATTTGCTATGAGAGTCAGAGCCATATTAACCAAAGAGTAAAGTATATGATCAATTTGGTAAATATTGGCCATCAATAAAAATAACAGTAACACGCTCAAACAATAGGCTTGAGTGGAGATCTACTGCCTACTAGAACTGAGAAAGGAATGTCAATACTGCTAAGGGTGTGTGGAGGATAGGAATTTACAATAAGCATGAACAGAAGGAGAACAAGAAACAGAAAGTGATGTCGGTGAACATGGGTGAAAGAGCTTTTTGGCTATAGAAAAGTCTGCAGAACGCGAATGAGAGAAAAATAATATTTCCTACCCTGTAATTACAACTTAAACGAAGCGTTCTGACACTAACCGAGACCTCTTTAGCTGAGTAAAACATGCTTTGCCAAAACTGAACCTGCTCAACAATTAGAACTGTAGACAAAATAAAAATTCAAGTCACACTTGCCCTGCCTTTTACTCCACCCTGGCACCTTCCAGTTTACACTTCCGCTCTCTCTCCGAATTGTCTCCTCACCTCCCGCAAAATGCCCCACTCCCTTTCCCTGTCAAGTCACTCTCTAGCGGGCACTCCCGCTCGGGCCAAGGTGCGCAGGTCTTCCCAGTGTCGCCCACTGCCGGAAACCAGAGAAGGATGGGACTTGACACCCAAGCTTCCGTGCAAAGCGCCCCGCCTATATGTGGCCTCCTGGGAACCTGA